AAGAAATATAAAACTTCAACAGACCAAACAAGTAATGAGATTGAAACAGTAATAAAAAGTCTCCTGACAAAGAAAATCCCACGACCACTGGGCTTCACTGCTGAATTCTTCCAAACTTACAAAGAACTAACACCAATTCTCCTCAAACTTATCACAAAAATTAAAGAGGAGGGAATTCTCCCATAACTCATTCTATAAGGTCAGTATTACTCTGATACCAAAACAAGAAAAGGATGCAACAAAAAAAGAAAACTACAGGCCAGTACCCCTGATGAACATAGATACAAAAGTTCTCAACAAAATACTAATAAACCGAATCCAATAAAATATCAAAAAGATAATTCACCATGATCGAGTGAGATTTATCCCAGGGATGCAAGATTGGTTCAATATATGCAAATCAATAAATGTAATATTACTACATCACAACAACAAAATGAAAGACATACACCATATGATCATCTCAAGAGACAGAAAAACAGCATTTGATAAAATTCAACATCCCTTCATGATAAAAACTTGCAACAAACTAGGCATAGAAGGAATATACCTCAATATAATGAAGGCCATATATGACAAACCCACAGCTAACATCATATTGGGGAAAAGCTAAAAGATTTCCTCTGAGAACTGAAACAAGACAAAGATGCTCACTTTTGCCACTCCTATTCAAAATAGTACTAGAAGTCCTAGGCAGAGCAATCAGGCAAAAGAAAGAAATAAAAGGCATCCAAATTGGAAAAGAGGAAGCCAAATTGTTCCACTTTGCAGATGACATGATCTTATTATCTAGAAAAAAACCTAAAAACTCCACCGAAGAACTCTTAGATCTGACAAATAAATTCAATAAAGTTGCAGGACACAAAGTCAACATCTAGGGAGGTGGAGGGGATGGGTAAATTCACAACTAATGGGTGCGGAGCGCACTGGGGGTTGGGCACGCTTGTAGCTCTGGCTTGGGCAGTGCAAAGGCAATATATGTAACCAAAATGTTGGTACCCCCATACTATTCTGAAATTTAAAAATAAATTTAAAAATTTTTATACTAATAAAGAC